TTAAATAACCGATCAATTGGCCAGGTCAAATACTCTAAAAAGTCTTAAGAAAAACAATTGAAAATATGTTTGAAAAAAGAAAAAACGATATAAATACATGTGATCATAATACTGCTTATTTATTTAATCAAGGCGAGCATCTTACTGGCAGGGAATTTATTGAAGTGTGTAATAATACAAGAATAGCATTTTACAAGGTGGTGATCAAAATATCATAAATTCAGTAGTAGAAGGGGCATGTTTATAACAAATTATGTGGAAAGCAGTATCTTTCATAAGAAGCAATCATATTCCGGCCTCAAGTTAGTTAGACATGTCCCACCATGTCATTAAGAGAAATGAAAATTTACTAACAATTCATAATTCTAGTTCTTCTTAAGAAATTGGTCTATCTGGGTTAATATTCTTACTAAAACAAAAATCGACCGAAGACCTCGACAACAGGAAAATTATTTAAAAATATTAAAGAAAATGATAATATTGAATATGAATCAGAACAAGACTCTGCCACGGAAAGCGAAAATCAGTTATTGAATGGCAATGAATTTAAAAAATATTATAAAATTAATATTATAGATTCATTTTACTATTATATACAAAATAAAGCAAATATTCTTAAAACATTTATTTTAATTTGACCAGTCAAATATAGATCAATTGACCGAATCGTATTTGGCCGGTTAATTATACAACCCTGCAAAATTATTTACCTTAGCCAATGGCGCTGATTTATTTTAGTTATATCTTCAAACTTCTTGTACATACTTAATATCTTTAAGATTTTTGGTTGAATGCCCTAATAAGTTTAGTTTATAATTTTATCAATTTAAAAATTAATTATATATAAAAAATGTAAAACTATCTTTTAAAATTGAGGTGTAAATTTATATTCTAAAGAAAAGAACGAACCAGTGGGTATGAGTCATTATGCTATTAAATACAATCCACCCCCATAAGATTCTAATGAAGTTATTAAATCATGCCTCAACAGTAAAGATATTGCCATGCCATCATCCTCCAGTGGTAGAAATCTTGAATATAAATATGGGAATTCGACCCCAATTACTGGTAAAATAATTTAAAAATTAGGTCAATTAAAATTTCAACCGATTATGAAAAGGCGAATCTAAGATTTAGTCGAAAACTATCCTCAGTTTCTGGGTAATATGCCGCTTGTTATATACATTCGATCAAACAATATTTTATATAAATTTATATTTGATATTTTTACAAATTATTTAAATATTAAAAATTTTCAACCCCTTACATTAGATGTTAAATAATAACTTCGATATGACTTTTAGAATTTTCAAAAATAAAAATTTTAAAATGATCCCACCTCAAAGCAAATTCATGTTAAGCGCCCAAGGATAGTGTTAGGGTGAATTCACAGTAGAGAGCGACAGCGACACGACAAAATACAAATATATGTAATTACCAATGACTATTCATAGTGAGCTTTTGCGACGCGACACGACAATCCCGCCACATTTGTCGCATTAAACTTAAAAATCAAGTTACAAATCATTTTGTTTTTTTCCATACGACATTAACTACAATATGGCCGAAAAAGATTTACAAGTAAATTTTTGATATGCTATTAAAATAATAAATGTTATATATACATATATCAGAATATAAATAAATATTATATTAATAATTTTTTATAGAAAATCAATAAAGAAGATTTAATCAATTCCATTAGATACCATCCTTGTCTTTATGACAAAAAATGTATAGGTTATAAAAATAACTCAATTTGGAAATTAATATCAGCTGAAAACAATATTGAGACAGGTAATTAAAGAGTTTTTAAAATATTTTCTAAATCAACATGGAAAAATTTAAGAGATTGCTTTATGAGGGAGCATAAAAAATTGAAATCTTCAAAGAGTGGGTCAGGGGCTAATCAAACTCCCACTTGGCAATTATATCACAATATGGCTTTCCTTATTCCAACTATAGAGCCAGGAATTCAATACAGTAATTTGAAAAAAACTAATCCTGTAATATCTAAAATTGATGAAGCAAATATTGCAAGAGCAATGTTTGAGCAAATGAGTGGTAATGAAAATTATCAATATGAAGATGGTAAATATACTAAATTTTGTTAATATTTTATTAATATATAGTCATTGAAATCCCCTACATAGATACAAATAGTGAAGATACAATTCTAAGGAATGATTGTAATCATATTTTATATAAATAATATTATATATATTTAGCATCACCGTCAACTAGTATTGCATCAAATTTATCTTGCAAAAAATTAATTTAAAAAAAAATATTGATCAAGGTAACATTTGTAAATATTTTTATTTATTTTAAACTAGATCTATTTGAGAAAATACTTGAAATTGAAAAAATGAAAGAAATAAGATCATCTACAAATTCTTGGTTTAATGTCATGCTAGATCAAACCTTGGAAAAAAGATCAGAAAGGGGAAAGAAGAAGCTTATTAAAATTATTTTTGATATTCTCTTCAACTTTGACACTGATGAAGAAGAATGAAAAATATTATATATTGTTATTTCATTGGAGGGCTTTTATATTATTTTAATTATATTTATGACATATATAATAAATAAACTTTCTTTTTATTAAATTATTACAAATCAATATATAAAAATAGAGTAATATTTTTGAAATTTATTATATTATTAAGCTCTAATAGCCTTGATAATTTTATTTATCTAAAAATATTCAGAAAAGGCATCTCTAATATCTTTAGAAACTTTTGAGGGTTTTTTTATAGATTGAGGATTACATAAATAATTATTTTGTTTATGATCTTGTATACCCTTGGGGTATAGATTTATGTTTTCTATTATATCATATTAAGACACATATAATAAATAAAACTTTCTTTTTATTATATCATTACAAATAAATATAAAAAAATGGAATAATATTTTTAAATTATAAGCTATAATTGACAAGGTAATTTATTTCTATAAAAATATTCTGAAAAAAAAATGCTTGTCGCTACTACTATGAATGCTATGTCGCTTACGACAAATCAGCTGCTCTGTCGCCTAATGTCGTGTGGTGATTGTCGTATCGCTGTCGCTCTCTACTGTGAATTCACCCTTACGCTGCGTTTATAGTGAACAAGTTATCTTCGAGCGTTGTGTTATTTTACGAGGCGTTATTACAGCGGATTCAATTTTATAAAATAATTTAAGATAAAGCTAAAATAAAGATAATTATTTTATAATATAAGATTTAAGAAAAATCATATACCTTTTTATAGAATTCTCTATTATTTTTATAATCGTATAGCATCTTTTTTATCAACACATTGCTACATGTTTTCAAATTTTATCATAGCGTTATCATCATACATAACGTTCCATATTTATATGTTCAAACCTATTTATTGGCTTTATTTTGCAATAATGCTGCGTTAAATAAAGCAAAGCTTGCGCAAAACGCGCTTACTGTAAATGCGGCCTTAAGAAGAGAGATGTAATTAAGGTTAAGAGATATGAGTTGGGTTTAGAATTTACTATTAAAAATGGCTAATGTCGAATAGAACATGAGACATTGAACCAACTAAAATTTTATATGATCGAGATAACATTTATAATATTTATATTTAAAAAATCGTCATTTTCGAAAAGAATCAATCGTTTGTGTGCGTATATCTATTGATAGTTCTGGATTCGAATCAAGCAAGAACTATGTTTATCTTCAGAAGCCAATATAGTGGTCCTTTCCTTGGGCAGATAATAAATATAATATCAGAAGCGAACGCGTGATTCCGTCTTTTAAATATAAAAATGTGTATTATTGCATATTTTTTTAAAAAAATTAATCGTTGTTTAGCAAATTTGATTTATGTTTTGTGAATTTGGTTGTTGTTTGGTAAATTGCTTTATGACTATGCGATTTAAGTGTACAAAATAATTAAATTTAATTGTTGTTCATAAGCTTCTATTATAAGGACCAACCTTATGCATCATTACCCTTTTTTCTTCTTTTAAATTTTCTACTTTTTAGGCTTTTTAATCGAAGCCAAATAGCTGGCTAAACTGTGTTTAGTCGAACCAAGACAGGGCAAATGTATTTAATTCTACTGCTTATTGATCTAAGCTACGGCCTGATGAGGAATAGTTCACCCAGAGGCCTATATTATAATCTTTCATCGAAATTGCATTCGCGGTATCCCGAAAGTGTATTTGCAGTAGTACAATCGTTAAATCATCTTTTCACTGTAAGCTCTTTTATATAATTTAGTTTTTTAAAATTTCATTGGTATAAAAATAATGTTTAATATATTAATTATTTTTCTTTAAAATGCTTGACTAACAAGTCTAATGCGGTATAAAAACTAAAGCTATCTAAAGTTATTATAATTATTTATTTCATAAATGTATATGGCCACTCTTTATAATTGTTATTATTTTATATATGCCACTATTTTATCTAATTTAAAATAGATACTTCATTATATTTTATTTTTAATTGTTTTACATTATAATCTTTAGTTTATAACATGATATTTTTACAAAATATTTAATATATAAATTTTACAAAACATATAAATGATAAATTGGTCCTGTCATTTAAAGCCAAAATAATCTTGTAGCTCAGAGTAAAAATAGTCTAGCCATATTTAAAGCCAAAATACTAATTCATAAAGCCAAAGTAATCTTGTTAGAATAGTCTTATAATTAGGAACCAAAATCGTCTTGGCATTTATAGTCAACTTCGACTTGTTAAGCCAAAATAATCTTGTCGCTTAGAGCCAAAATACTATCTTAATTTATTGGAAATGAAATGCTATATACTTTTTTTGAACTTTATTTAAAGTTAATTATCTTTAACCTTCTTTATACATTTTTTTCCCTTATAAAATTATAAATTTAAAGAAATTGTTATAAAAAAACTCTCACTTATTAATATATCTATTATTTACTAGATAATAATTAAAATAATATCTTTTAAACATGATACGGATGTTGATTAAATAAAAACATAAATTTGTAAAACATTATTATCTATACAAAACTAGCTACTTTATTTTTTTACAATTTAATGTTTGATTAAGAGGAAAATAATAATAAAAAGTCATTTCCCAACGCAAAAATCCTTGAAAACTATATCAAGCACGTCTTCAGTGGTAATCACACCACCTTGAGCATCCCCAGCTAATAAGGACAAATTTCTAGAAGCTCTTTGCAAAGTTCGAGCTAAATAAACGTAATTGTGTTCGATGAATTCGGTTTCGAGAAAATTCTTTAGGTATTTGTCGCAAACGGCTAAACTATTTCTTTGCCTTTGGGAGTGGACAAAGGGGTCACCTTTAGATGAATCGCCGCACCTATCATTAAATTTTAAAAGTATATTCGAGATAAAATAATTGTCATAGTAATAGGGAAAAATAGGAGGTTTTCGAAGGGAATCCGTTGTGAATCAGATTTTGAGAGCATTTTCAAACTCTTTATGAACCCATAGCTATTTTTGAAAAAAATCTCTAGTTCTACACGCTATTTTTTTTTTAAATTTAAATTAAAAAAAATATAGCTTTATTAAAAAAAAAATTTAATTGACCATATCGAAATTTAAATTGGCATTTTAAAAATGTGAATAAAGTTTTTGAACCGTGAACAGAACCTAGCGCGTAGCTAGGAATTTTCTAAAAGGGGAAGGGGGTAAAGATTTATTACATTGATTTATCTTTTTTGGAACGTAAAAAATTAATTAGAACCAATCATTCTTTAAAAATGACTCAAACATCAAATAATGAAATTTTTGAAAATACAAAATATTGAGCAATTATAATATTGCTAAAAAAATATATCTAAATCACAATAATAGAATTAAACATTAAATAATGATTTAAAGTTAATCAAAATACCGTCAATATATGAAAATTAATATTCTTTGAGATATGTCAAATTTTCAATAATTTTTTCTGCATTAGGAATTAAATCTCGATGTGTATTAAGTAAAACTAGTCCATTCAATAGATTTTCTGATGTACTTCTGAGATAGTTTATACTCCGTAATGAAAAAAAGATCCTTGTGCTTGTACTAATTGGTATTGTTGCCAAAATATATATACAATAGTTTTAAAATGTTTAGAAAAAACTCCAAAATATATTTTTAAGTATGCAGTGCTTTTATAGCGTTTCTCGAATGATTATCGGCTAAAATTAATCTTTCATACCAAGATTTAGATTGTGAAATTCTTTAGTTTCAGATACATTAAAATTTATATCCTCTGAATAAATTTTAGCTAAATTTTAATTTTTTTCAATATCAAGATTTAATAGATCCTCAATGAGATTTCTGGAGTATTAGTAAATTGCATAGAGCCATTAGAAGAATCACAAATTGTTCATTGATTTGATCAAAAATGTATCCAGTGAAATAAAAACGATTATTTTAAATTCTCAATTGAATCCACATTAATATTAGAACGATTTGTTTGTATAGATACAAGTCGAGGCTTGTGAATCTCAAAATCATATAATTTCGCCTACGCCTCAACTATCATATAAATCTCATCATGTGAACTCTTGGTCGATATTATCTCTTAATTTTCTAGTTGTAATATTATTATATTGGTGACTCTCATAACCTCACTAAATCCATAGCATTTTTTAAAAAATATTGCATAAAATGGTTATGTAATAAAATAATTTATTAATACATTCTAATGCAAAAAAATAGACTGACATATTGAATCTAATAATATATCAGTATTAGGTAAAATATCTGGTTCAGGCCATTCTGATATTTCTCCAAGGACACTCAAAAATTTTTTTAGACATAAAAATACTATAACAAAACTAACAAATTATCTTGGATTGCATATAAGACATGCTTTTGCAGTTTCTTTTTTCTTGTAGCACAAGAAGTCTTAGAAATAAATTTATTCAGCAAATTCTACTTTTTTAATTTATTACCGTTTTATGCACTCTGGAAATTTTGCTTAAATATAATATAGTGGTTATTAGAAATAAATTAAATATAATTTTTTTGGTTGATAAAATTTATAATTTTCTTATACTCATCAGGGTTTAAGGTTTAAAAAAAATTTAAGAAAATATATCTTAATTTTCGCGGGATAAAATATTAATACACAAGGAAGAAATATTTAATTAGTTTTGTCTTTATTTTTAAATTTATAATAGAATATAACCTATTTGAAATATGTTTACAATTCACAATTCTTAGATTTTTCAAAAAAATTTAAGGGGAAGGAAGATTTTTCTCCTTGACCTGCCCCCCCCCGCTGGCAAAGCGCCTGAACTAACCTTGAACTGAGTAACGTTCATGATTTTGACCTGGTCCTGAACCAGAACCGAACCTGGCCAAAAAATTACGAGTTCGAAGCTCTGAAAAAAGGCATGATAAATATATAATTGTATTTGCTAGGCGCCAAATGTCGCGGGTATTGATAATAAATTTCGATTTTGATCTGGTCCTTAACCAAAACCGAACATGGCCAAATAAATTACGGGTTAGAAGCCCTGAAAAAGAAGACATTTCCTAAGCGCCAAACGTCACGATGATTGTTAGTAAATTTTTAATTATTACAAATAAATTAAATACTGTCAAGTTGCCTATAGAATATTGTTAATAAACGAGATCGAATGGCGAAGATGCAATCATAATGGTCTCAATTTTTTAACGAATCCTCAAAATGACTTGAAACGCTGATTTTTTTTAAAAAAAATTTAGCTCTCGTGCCCATCTTTTAAACGGTACTACTATTTAAATTTTTTATATAACATACAAAACTGTAGGGGAGATTGGGGATGTGTTATCCCGAGGGAAGATATTCTTCTCAAATATTTTTAAAACTAAATAATTTAAGCCATAAATGTATTTTTAATAAGATGCTTCAATTCAAAAATGTTTCATAGAAATATGCTCACGAAAAGTTTTATATGCAAATTTAAATTTTAACACGTCATTCCTGAGTTTCAATTAGATTGAACTCTTAAATCAAAAGAGAATTTTCTAGGTCGTATATCCAGATTAGTTTGTTGGAAGTCTTTCTCATTAAATTAATTAATAACTTGTATGTTGCATCCCTATTTTCATCTCGGATCCATTCCCAATTTAATTTAAATGCAGGATGGATGATAGCAGCTATCATTATATCCGGAAATCTGCTAAGTTTAAAAATAATCTGTTTATTAATGCCACATATATGAGCAAAAGTGGTTGATAAACTCTAAATTTGCAAAATTATTCAATTCCGATGAGCCTAGATATAGTCGGAGTTAAAAATCCTCTATTTAAATGTAATGGAGTCTCAAACCAAAGGTTCCATTCCATAACCTGAAATTTTCGAAAATACTGATGATTTTGAATAGAGACCTACATGGACCGATGATTCTAGCCCAAATCCAATTTGAGGAACTTGGGTCAGTTGGTCGGATCTTGATGACATTCTCTCGGACTTAATCGGATTGGACCTTTATAATTATTTCGGACTAGAACCTTGACAAAAGCGCCAAATGTAAGGTAAGAGACTAAATAGCGAGCATCAATATAGCGAAAAATGTGAATATTCACAATAATGTTCACAAAAATGGCCGCCATATTTTTGATATGATTCCAACTATAACCTCTAAATAGCGAGCATCATAATAGCGAGGTATTAAATGAATGATAGTTTAAAAAAGGCTAACATATAATATACAAATAATTTTATAAATTATTAAAATGTAAATAATTATTATAAATATATAAATCATTTTATTATAATATTATTATTATATAATTATAATATTACACCTATTTTTTTATCTGATATTATTATAGTATTTTATAAATTATTAATAAATAATTTGTTTTAAATTATAAATGTACACATAAATATAATTTATATATTTGTGTTATTATATTACAACTTTATTTAAAACATTTTCTAAATTGTATTAAGGGAGTGGTGGAGGGTACCATTTAATGATCATAATTAAGGAGAATACTAATAAGAAGCAGTAGCTACATGCCGGGTGGGGGGGGGCAGCGCCTGCATTACAGAATTTTCATTGGATGCATATCCCCTCAAAGAAACTATGTCTAACCCCCGCCCCCCATTTTTGCCACCATTATTAATTACACCTTTTTAATTATAATAAACTTTCTATCAAAATATTGTGGATATAAAAGTGTTATTTTTCAATCATGAATTCAATTAAAAGCCTCCACAATTCTTTTTGGCATGAGTATGAGTTTGCTGAGAATGTCTAAACCTTTTAAATGTAGCAGAAAGTTTTATTTGGAAAATAACATTTGTTTGTTTGCAATGTACAGATTTGGTCGATCATCAGTAATATATATTATAATAGGTCTATAATAATAGGATAAATTTTTTCAGCAATATATTTTTTCCTATTTTATCTAAAAATTAATAAATAATTTCCAAATAAATTTATCCTACCCCAAGGCGCCTACCCCTTACCCTCCTCAAAATATTGGATGTGAACTGTTACTACCCCTCCCCATTCACGTAGACGCTTGGAGGGGGGGGGGGTAAATGTTTTAATATAGCCTTTAAGGATAGTAAGTAAAAAATAATTTAGGGTTGAGGTAGGAGGGAATTTTTTTCTCTTATGGACATAAAAGGAGCAAATCCTAATTTATTAGAAAAATTAAAATTAATTAAACTACAATTTTTTCCTATCAAAAATATTAAAAATAAATCGAATATTATAAGTTATGTATTAAATATTTTCATAGCCTGTTATACAATCTCCTCTCAAGATTCCCCTAATTTTTAGCTATGGCTACTCTATATAAATGGCGGCGCTAGCTACTAGTGCGCTACTTTAAACAGCATAGCTTATGGTAAATAGAGTGACGAAACTCGTGAAACAATTTTAAAACATTTATCTCTTACTTGATTAATTAAAATTAAATCAGAATCTTAAGGAACATGTTCTTCCTTGCAAGTTGTGTAAATATCAGCTAACGAAACCCAATAGCGATAAATTAAATGAATGTTGATAATAATTACATCTTTTTACACATTTTAAATTGTATTTTTTAAAATATTAACAAAGTAAAATAATTTATATATATTAATATTATAATATTTTATAAATTATAATATATAAATCTTTTTAGTATTATAAAACTATTATTTTTCAATAATATTACACATATAATTTTTATATATTAATATTAGTGTTTTATAAATTATTAGCATTCAATATTTATCTATTTCACCTATAATTTTTATATATTAATATTAGTTATCATAAAATTATAAAATTTATATTTAAATTATCTCTATATTCTATGATTATTATATAATTATAAATATATATTTATTTATATTGAAACTTCAGAGTTTAA